CACCCGTCCTTTTTCATGATAAATTTGGTTTTTCCTTCTCAAACTCAAAACGGGTTTTATTTTAAAATTTGGTCTGTAGATCCTTGTGCCCAAGGGGACAGGGTTATTTTGCTCATGTTTTCCGTTTCCCCCTTTTAGTGACCCAGAGCAAATATAGAAAAAACCTTTAAAATCTTTTTTCACAGAAAAAATTGAGGGGGGTTAACACCAAACCCTTTTTTGTGCTTTTTTGAAGTCTTTTATAAGTTTCTTCATATTTTTTTGGGGGGCCCCTTTTTGGGGTCCCCGGAAAAAATTTGGAAAACCTTTTAAAACTGTTCTTCAAAAGAACAATGGATGAGGATCAAAATTTGCCCTGGAGTTTCTTGGGATTTTTTTAAATTTTGGCTTATAGAATTTTGATTCCCCCTTTTTTAAAGGTCCTTACCTAAAAATAGAAAAAACTTAATTTCTTTTTTAACAGAAAACGAGGATGTCACCAAACTTTATTTTTAGCATTTTGGCTATTTTTTTTACATGTTTCCTCATATAAATTTTATTGGGCCTTTTTTAGCGCAGTTTAAATTTAAAAAAAAAATATTTTTAAAATTCTACAAGAAAAAAGGGATGGAGTCAAGTTTTTGTCTGTTTTTGGGGTATTATTGGGGTTGCTTTTATCAATTTGCTATAAATTTTAACCCCTTTTAGGGGCGTTTAAGAAAATTTAAAGAAACTAAAAATTTTCTCTTTCAAACCCAATTGTTTGGATGTAACCAAACCTTTTGCCCCTTTAGCATTTGGTGGGGCCTTTTTTAAAATTTGCCTAAATTAAATTTTCCAAAAATTTTTTTTAGGGCCCCCGGGCCCTTTAAGCTAAAAAAGAAAACGGTTAAATTCCCCTTAAAACTTCAAAAACCCCAATTTTTGGGATGCCCCATAAACCCAGGTTTTCTTAAGCATTTTTTTGGGATTCCTTTAGAAAATTTGCTATATTAAATTGATTGGGCCCCTTTTGGGTTGGCCATAAAGTAAAATGGGAAAAAATTTCGAACATCATTTCCCTACGAAAAATTTGATAGTTGATCACCAAATTTGTAGCTTTCTTAGTGGGTCTTTTATCAATTTTTTTTAAATTAACTTTGTTTAGCCCTTTTAAAGCAAAACCCTTAAATCCCCGGGAGGTTTTCCAAAAATTTAAAATTTTTTAAAATTTATTCTATGCCCCAAATTTTAAAATATTAAAAAACTTAAATTTCCCCAACACGGGAAAAGAGGTTTTTGGGGGCGAGCGACCTCGGGCCCATCTTGGCCCTCTGTTTTTAATTTTCCGGGACAAAATCATCTAGGGAAAAGTCCAATAAACCCCTTTATTTCGAGACTTTCCCGGATGCCCGTAAAGGTTTTTTGGCATGTTGTAATATGGGTAAGAGTCAGCAAGTTTAAAAGGCTTTTTTAGTTTCCCTTAAAATTTTTTCCTGATTGTTTAAAAAAGGGAATTTTATTTTCAGTTTTGAGTTTTTCAAATAAATTTTTTTTCAAAATTTTGGGGTTTAAATTTAAAAAGGGTATAAAAAATTTTAAAAACAACACCAAAAAAGTTATGAAATTTGTTTCCCCCTTAAATGTGGGATGCCAGGGTTTTCTTTTTTAGACGAAGTTTTTATTGTGTTTTTTTGGGTTTCATTAAAAATTAAAAATTAAATACTATTTAAAAATGTACAGGTTTTTTTATTTTAAAAAATTTGACAAATAAATTTGAAAATTTACATAGCCCTATTAATTTCATGACATTGTTTTTCTTTTTTATTTGATTTTAAAGAGGGAACCATAAAATTCATCTAAAAAATTAAACCCATAAACAAAAAATTAAAAAAAAAAGGGGGGCAAGAAATTAATTACAGGGTCGCAAAGGTTTCCTGATTGCACAAAACACATGGAGTAAAAAAACAAGGGAAATCAACTATTTGTCAGTGTAAAAGTGTTTTTTAAAGGGGAACACCCGTAAAAGAGGCTGCTTTGTACATTTTTCAGCAAAAATTTTGAAAAAGTTTTATCTTAAAACAAAACCAATTAAAAAACACTTTAAATTTTAATGTTAAAATAGACTCTTTCTTTTTTCAACTGGGCTTGCATTTTAATGTTTCATACGTTTTGATGTTCTGTAAATTAAAAAATTAAAGTTAACATTTTATCCCGGTCTTTTTTTTCAAAATTTTGTAAGGTATTGTGGGACAAGGGGAATTATATAGGGTTCTTTTTTTCAAAAAATTTGAGGGGCAATGCGCCATCCCCATTTTTTTCCAAGTTTTTAAAGAAAATTTTAAAAAGAATTCTTCACCTTTCCCTCCCTTTGTGGCCCTGTGATGATTTTGGGTGTTTTGTTTTGATTTTTTTTTTGAAGAAATTTGCCCTTTTAAGAGGGCCCTGTTTTCGGGAAAAATATTACCAATGCCCCTTGTTTTTACTAAAGATACGATATTTTTTTAACATCATTTTTAAAATAATTAAACAAAAATACTTTTTTCCCAGTTTTATTTTTTTAAAAGAAAATGTTCATACGTTGTAAATCCCTAATATAAAAAACTACATAAATATTATTTCAGATGGATCTGATATAAGTTAAGATCAGCAGAATGTCTAATGCCATTATTTATTATGCCCCCACTTCAAAGAAGAGGGGGTATATTGCTTTGCATTTGTCTATCAGTCCGTCGGTTCGTAGACCAAATGGTTTCCGAGTGATAACTAAAGAACCCTAAGGCCTAGGAACTTCAAACTTGGTATGGTGATTGGTCATGATCAGTAGATGACTCCTATTGATTTCAGAGTCAAAGGTCAAGGTCACATTGACCTTGAAAGTAAAAATGGTTTCGGAACGCTTAGGCCTAGGAACTTCAAACTTGGTATGATGATTGGCCATGACCAGTAGATGACCCCTATTGATTTTGGGGTCAAGGGGTGAAAGGTCAAGGTCACATTGATCTTGAAAGTAAATATTGTTTCCGATCAATAACTAAAGAATGCTTAGGCCTAGGAACTTCAAACTTGGTATGATGATTGGTCATGACCAGTAGATGACCCCTATTGGTTTTTGGGTCAATGGGTCAAAGGTCAAGGTCACATTGACCTTGTAAGTAAAAACAGTTTCTGATCAATAACTAAAGAACCCTTAGGCCTAGATCTTCAAACTTGGTATGATGATTGGTCATGACTGGCAGATGACCCCTATTGATTTTGGAGTCAAGGGGTCAAAGGTCAAGGTCATATTGACCTTGTAAGTAAAAACGGTTTCCGATAAATAACTAATGAAGGCTTAGGCCTAGGAACTTAAAACTTGGTATGATGGTTGGTCATGACCGGCAGATGACCCCTATTGATTTTGGGGTCAATGGATCAAAGGTCAGGGTCACATTGACCTTGTAAGTAAGAACAGTTTCTGATCAATAACTAAAGAAGGCTTAGGCCTAGATCTTCCAACTTGGTATGATGATTGATCATGACTGGCAGATGACCCCTATTGATTTTGGAGTCAAGGGGTCAAAGGTCAAGGTCACAATGACCTTGTAAGTAAAAACAGTTTCCTATCAATAACTTAAGAAGGCTTAAAACTAGGAACTTCAAACTTGGTATGGTGATTGTTCATGACCAGCAGATGACCCCTATTGATTTTGGGGTCAAGGGGTCAAAGATCAAGGTCACATTCACCTTGTTAATAAAATCAGTTTCCCATCAATTATGAAAGAACTCTGAGTCCGAGGAACTTCAAACTTGGTGTGATGATTGGTCATGACCAGCAAATGAACCCTTTTGATTTTGAAGTCAAGGGGTCAAAGGTCAAGGTCACATTGACCTTGTTAGTATTAACGGTTTCTGATCAATAACTTAAGAAGGCTTAGGCCTAGGAACTTCAAACTTGGTATGGTGATTGCTCATGAACAGCAGATGACTGGTCATGACCAACAGATAAATCCTATTGATTTTGGGGTCAAGGGGTCAGAGGTCAAGGTCACATTGATTTGAAGTTAAAAACAGTTTCAACTCAATACCTAAAGGACGCTTAGGCCAAGGAACTTCAAACTTAGTATGATGATTGTTCATGACCAGCAGATGAACCCTATTGATTTTGGGGTCAAGGGGTCAAAGGTCAATGTCACATTGACCTTGTAAGTATAAATGGTTTCCGATCAATAACTTAAGAAGGCTTAGGCCTAGGAACTTCAAACTTAGTATGATGATTGTTCATGACCAGCAGACGAACTCTATCGATTTTGGGGTCAAGTGGTCAAAGGTCAAGGTCACATTGATTTGATGTTTAAAACGGTTTCCACTCAATACCTTAAAGATGCTTAGGCCTAGGAACTTCAAACTTAGTATGATGATTGTTCATGACCAGCAGATGAAGCCTATCGATTTTTGAGTCAATTTCAAGGTCACTTTGACCTTGTCTGTAAAAACAGTTTCCGCACAATAACTAAAGAATGCTTAGGCATTGGAACTTCAAACTTAATATAATGATTGGTCATGACCAGTAGATGACCTCTATTGATTTTGGGGTCAAGGAGTCAGTGTCAAATTGACCTTGTACCTATATTCATTTTATGGTCTTACGTAATATAACAATTTGGCTTGGCTGTCATTAATGAGGCCTACATGATTCAAAAAAATTATGCATATATTATTTTGTAAGATTTGTAAATTGCTGCACACAACCTATGGGGTCACAATAATTATTACCTTGTGACTAGTCATGACCAGTAGATAACCCTTATTAATTGTTTGTTCACTGGGTCAGAAGTCATGTATAATAACCTGATCACATGACTAATTGGCTGCCGATAGGGGGCATACATGTTTTACAAACATACCTTGTTAAACTATAAAGACCATTTTCTACAGGTACACTATATCATAGGAAATATAAGCTTACTGCCTTATTTCACTATTTAATACAGAAGATATTGTCAGATTCAGTAAACATGAGCAAAATGACTGAAGATTATCAATGTCATTACACATTTCAGATGGACCTGATTCAGCTGTTCTCAGCAAAACATCACCACACACTGTAACAGAAGGGGATACAAATAAAAAAATCGAATGTATTTCAGAATGCTATCCAGGTTGTTCTTATAAATGGACAAAAAGATCCTCTGCTATAACTTCTGAACATGTACTTCAACTAAACACTGTGTTAAGAGAGAACGCTGGACATTACAAATGCATTAGTACCAATACAGCAAAATCACAGTTCCAAAAGTCTGCAGAGTCAACTATAGAAATCATTGTTCAATGTAAGCTTTTGCTTGACTATTTGAAGAATAGGGAAAACTTTTTTACTCAATCTGGCATTTGCATCACCCTGGTACCTCCAAAACTTCAGGAGGGAATTGGTTGACACTGGGCACTTTATTTGAGAGAATGATATGTCGTTATCAAAGGCCCATTACTCAAATATTGATTTTTACAGAATTGTGGTCTCTATGAACTTTTTGAAATTTCTATATTATCCAGGTTTTTTTTTTTCTTTAAAGCAGTGAGAGTGGTCAAGCAAACTATCATACTGTTTATATGATAAGTAAATAAAAAGGAGTCTTCACAACCATGCTGTGAAGGTTAAAGACTTCACATATTTATTTATTGCCCAAGCCAGGAACGTTAAACTAACTTAAAGTCACTGTTTTACTTAGATAATATAGATATCTTATACAGTCGAGACTGTCATATGTGACTTTCCAAGGGATTTTCAGGAAAAGGTCGCATATGACAGGGAGTCTCTAAATACAGTCTCAATATCATCTATCTGTCTATATACCAATGTGACTTAAAGAACCTGTATGTTTTGTGATTGGTTCACGTATCTTGCAAAAAAATATATATGGATATAATTATGCAAATAAAACCATTTTCAAACATCAAAGAATATGTAAAATGTTTATTGCAAATATTTTTGCACATTATATTTAATCAATTAATTACATGCATTGATTTCTTATTGGAAAATTTGACTTAGAATTTATAGAAAATAAAGTTCTAATTACCTTCCTTTAATGGCCTTTATTTACATGAAATGTTAAATTGGGTGATATCTTTCTAAATTATGCTTATTTGAACTTACAATATTGACAAATCTAAATTTGAGCATCATATTTATGAAATAAAACCGTGAAAAAATTGTGATACAGGATCTTTACTGTAAACATATCCATATCCAAAGCTTTTTCTGGTTTGGTATCAATATTTTTTTCCGTATTAATTATGCAGCCATAGAAATGTAAATTAAAAAATTGCTGCCCAAAAAATCTTCCGTGGACACTATAATTAAAAAAAAAATCTAACACAAGTCTTAACCCAGTTTACTCAGGTAGTACATTACACACACATTGATTGCATCATGCTTCCCATAAACCGACGCTACGTCACTTGGTACCTGCATGTATCTACATGCTAACTGTGTAATTGAGATAGAGGTGTGTAGACTTTGTTTGCTACAGTGCTGGATTATAATTGGACTTAAATATATATAAAATTATTTTGGCCCTCTGGGTGTTATAATAGGTAATCTTTATCTGATTAACAGACAATTAAAAGGTGTGAAAGTCGTTTAAATCAGACAAAACATTGCATTGGGACCAGACAATTTGGGTCACTTGTCACATATGACAGGGAGTTGTTTAATTCAGACCATTTATATAGGAAAATGCGTTGGGAGTACTGAAACAAGGTCGGATAAGACAGGGAGTCGTTTAAATCAGGGGGTCGCTTAGGCAGTCTCGACTGTACTGTTTTGTGCTTGGCCACCATACCATAGTAAAAACACTAGTAAACAGTAAAATTACCATTAAACATTTAGCAGTGCATTTCACATCTTCTTATTTATTAAAAAGCAATACCACTGTCACATTTCACTTATTATATGTCTTTGTAGCTGTGAACTGATAAATATTAAACATGTCTAAAATATCTTTAACTTTCTTTAATACAGATGCCCCTGATGTAAATATTAGTCTGTCAATGACCAGTGTTAAAGAAGGAAAAAGTCTTATATTATACTGTAACGGCCATGGTGTACCATCTAGTTACAACTACACAAACTTAATTCAAAGCTGGAACAAAGTTGCAATACCAAATAACAATACAGCAGTAGATAATACAAAGAAGTATAGCTCTCTTTACTTTAAATCACTACGACTAGATGATACAGGGACATACACGTGTACATTAAACAATGGAATATCAAACCTATCAGGAATCCTTGACCAAAGTGGTACAAGGGAGATCATTGTACAAGGTAAAGAAGTCATTTCATTAAAGCTTTCTTTTATAATTTTTTTACTTTGACAGAAAAAATGGCCAATGAAAGAATATATTTCTGATACATTAAGAATAGATGACTGTGGTGATAACATTCTCTGACCAATTATAATTTTGGGGGAATATACAGGAATCACCTTGTCCTGTCCTTTCTGTTTCCGCCTTTTTAGTTCACTTGACCATGAAGTGGTCAAAGTGAGGTTAAGTGATGAGGCTATGGCCGGCATCGTGCCTTGTCATTAAACAGTAACAGTTTGGATTCGATCATAATCAAACTTTGTCAGAATGTTTTGTCTCAATAAAGTTCAAATATAGGTCATCTCAGGTAAAAAAACAAGGACACAGGAGCTAAAAATAGAAAAATCCTGTTAATGCTCTAGTGGCTGCAGTTTTAATCCAAATATCCGGGAAATTGATAAGGAAATAGAGAAAAACAGAATCCCTAAAGAAAGCCCAAAACAGCAAAATTAAAAATATTTAAGGCTCGCTTTGATTGAGCCTGTTCATGAACAGTACTGGAAAGTGCAAGTTACTGTCCACGCCCCCTAGCAACGGCTAAATTAGAATTAAACATTTTAACAAGAAAATGATGAAATTTTGAATTTAGAAACATCCATAGATGTGTTCATACGGTGGTTATCATGATGGAACCTTCAATGTGATACAGTAATGTCATTCCATGATTAAGCGGCATGATTAGTCCCCAAATAAAATAGTGTGTGTACCCTAAACTAGAAAACATGGGCAGAACTAAATAAAATGGAATTTTGAAAGTGGATATGAGGTTATGAAGCCTGCATATTAAAGACAAGACGTCAAAAGACAATTTAAAAGCAGGCAACATATCCTAACGGTGTTTTTACAGTATTTAAGTAGGTATACTCAGGAACCATCCCAGTTTAAAAAGGTCAAATAGAAAAAACTAAAAATTACCAAGGTTGTTTTGATCAAGTTCTTGGTCAAGTTCAAATATGGGTCATCTTCGGTCAAAAACTAGGTCATAGGAGCTAAAAATAGAAAAATCTTGTTAACACTCTTGTGGCTGCAGTTTTGATCCAATTATTAGGAAGGTTGCTTTGATGATTATAAGATCAAGTTTGGATATGGGTCATCTTGGGTCAAAAACTAGGTCACGAGAGCTAAAAGTAGCAAAATCTTGTTACCTCTCTAGTGACTGCAGTTTTGATCCAAACATCCTGGAAATTAGTAGGGAAGATTGTTCTGATTATTTCCAATTCAAGTTCACATATGGGTTATCTCCGTTCAAAAGCTAGGTCACAGGAGCTAAAAATAGAAAAATCTTGTTAACACTTTAGTGGCTGCAGTTTTGATCCAAATATCCTGGAAATTGATCAGAAAGGATGTTTTGATGTTTTCTAGGTCAGGTTGTAATATAGGTCATATCTGGTGAAAAAACTAGGTCACAGGAGCTAAAATTGAAAAATCTTGTTAACACTTTAGTGGTTGCAGTTTTTAGCCAAATGTCATGGAATTTGTGACCAAGAAGGTTGTTTTGATGATTTCTAGGTCAAGTTGAGATATAGGTCATATCTGGTCAAAAACTAGGTCACAGGAACTAAAAGTAGACAAAAATCTTATTAACAGTAGTGGTTGCAGTTTGATCCAAATATTCTGGAAATTGGTCAGGAGGGTTGTTCTGATGATTTCTAATTCAAGTTCTAATATGGGTCATTTCCAGTCAAAAACTATGTCACAGGAACTAAAAATAGAAAAATCTTGTTAACACTCTAGTGGCTGCAGTTTTGATCCAAATATTCTAGAAATTGGTTAGGAGGGTTGTTTTAATGATTTCTAGATGATGTTTAATTTGGGTCATTTCCAGTTAAAAACTAAGTCACAGGAACTAAAAATAAAAGAATCTTGTTTACACTCGAGTGGCTGCAGTTTTGATCTTATATTCTTGAAATTTGCAAGAAGGCCGTTTTAATGATTTTCAGGTCAATTTCGAATATGGGTCATCTCCGGTCAAAAACTAGGTCACAGAAGCTAAAAGTAGAAAAATCTTATTAACAGTAGTGGTTGCAGTTTCGATCCAAATATTCTAGAAATTGGTAAGGAAGGTTGTTTTGATGATTTTCAGGTCAGGATTCTCTTCTAGTTAATTGCTTGAAGGAGTTTGAACATGGACCATTTTTGATGAAAAACTATGTCACAGGAGCTAAAAATAGAAAAAATCTTGTTCACTTTTTAGTGGCTAATGTTGTGTTAAGCAAATATCCCGGAAACTTGTCTGCAAGTTTGTTTTGCTGATTTTAAAGCTAGTGACAGGGTGAGCTGTTGTGATCGCCTTTAGTCCGGCGTCCGTCCGTCCATAAACTTTTACTTTAAATGACATCTCCTGATAAACCACTAAGCCAATTTCATCCAAACTCCACAGGAATTTACCTTTGGTGGTCACCTTTAAAAATTGTTCAAAGAATTTAATTCCATGCAGAACTCTGGTTACCGAAAGAAAAAACTTTAAATATCTTTTAAAAATCCCAAAGAGCTACAGCTAAGATATTTGGCATGAAACATCTTCTAGTGAGTGTCTTCCAAATTTGTTCAAATAAAAGACCTGGGGTCAAAATTGGCCTCGCCCCAAGGGTGTCATTGTTTTAACTACTAAGTAAATGTATATGTGTATAGTAAAAACTTAAAAACTCTTCTTTTGAAAAACCCAACGAGCTAGAGCTTAGATGTTTAGCATGAAAAATCTTCTAATGGCTGTCTACCAAGTTTGTTCAAATAAAAGCCCTTGGGTTAAAATTGGCCCTGCCCGAGGGGGGGGGGTGGGATCATTGATTTTCCTTTTACATGTGTATGGTAAAAAACCTAAAGAGCTAGAGTTTAGATTCTAATCATGAAACACCATTGAGTGAGTGTCTACCAAGTTTGTTCAATAAAAACCCTGGGTAAAGATTGGACCTGTTGGGGGGGGGGGGGTCATTGTTTTTCATTATATGTGTGTAGTAAAATTAAAACATCTTCTTTTAAAAATCTCAAAGACTTAGAGCTTAGATGTTTAGCATGAAACATCTTCTAATGCATGTCTACCAAGTTTGTTCAAATAAAAGCCCTGGGGTTTAAACTGGCCTAGCTCCGGGGGCTGGTGAGGGACTTCAGGGCCATCATGGCCCTCTTGTTAAGTTGAATATTGGTCACCCGGGGTCAAAAACTAGGTCACACTTACTAAATATGGAACAACCTTATTAATACTCTAGAAATCACATTTTTGACTCAATTGTCATCAACTTGGTCAGGATGCTTGTCTAAGTAATTGCTTGGATGAGTTTTATGGGACAGATGAGTGATCTAGGGCCATCTTGGCCCTCTTGTTAAGAAAAAGGGCAAGATAAAAATGGAATTTGTCTGGCTGTCTGTCCACCACACTTTCATGCCCAGTCTTTAATAAAGTCATTATACCCCTACCACAAAATGGGGGGGGGGGGCTATAATGAATTCGCTTTGTCGCGTCGGTTTATCGGTCTGTCCATGCGTTTCCATTTTCGTGTCCGCTCTATAAATCCTATACCAATTGAAGGATTTTCTTCAAACTTGGCTCAAATGTTCACTTCAACAAGGGGATGTGCAGAACCCATGTTGCCCATGTGTCAGCTCAAGGTCACAATTGAAGGTCAAATATCAAACAATCAAATATCAGACAGTATGTCGTGTACGCTCTGTAACTCCCACACTTATTGAAAGATTTTCTTCAAACTTGACTCAAATGTTCACCTCAACAAGGGGATGTGCAGAACCCATGTTGCCCATGTGTCAGCTCAAGGTCAAGGTCACAATAGAAGGTCAAATATCAAACAATGAAATATAAGACAGTATGTCGTGTCCGCTCTGTAAGTCCTACACTAATTGAAAGATTCTTCAAACTTGGCTCAAATGTCCACCTCAACAAGGTTATGTGCAGAACCCATGTTACTCTTTTGCCGGCTTAAGGTCAAGGTCACACTTGAAGGTCAAAAATTGACTTAGAAAATGTTCTTAAATTTTAACATGTATTTGAATATTTCTGAAACTAGAAAAGGTATTTGCTTGAAACTTAAAAGCTTTATGAAGTGTCACAATTAAGATAAGCAGGTCAAGTTTCATAAATCTGTATTGCATTTTAACAAAGTTATGCCCCTTTTTAGCTCGACTATTCACAGAATAATCGAGCTAATGCAGTCACCCATTTGTCGGCATCGGCTTCCCTGTGGTTAAGTTTTTGTATGTAAGCTGGTATCTCCATAACTACTGAAGGGAATGGATTGAAACTTCACACACTTGTTCTCTGTGATTATCTAAGATGATTGGCACAAGTCCCATAACTCTAATTTGCTTTTTTACATAATTATGCCCCTTTTTCAAATTAGAAATTCTTGGTTAAGTTTCTGCGTGTAAGCTGGTATCTCCATAGCTACAGAAGGGAATGGATTGAAAATTGACACACTTGTTCTCTGTGATTATCTAAGATGATTGGCACAAGTCCCATAACTCTGATTTGCCTTTTTACATAATTATGCCCCTTTTTCGACTTAGAAATTCTTGGTAAAGTTTTTGCATGTAAGCTGGTATTTCCATAACTACTGAAGGAAATGGATTGAAACTTCACACACTTGTTCTCTGTGATTATCTTAGATGATTGGCACAAGTCCCGTAACTCTAATTTGCTTTTTTACATAATTATGCCCCTTTTTCGACTTAGAAATTCTTGGTTAAGTTTTTGCGTGTATGCTGGTATCTCCATAACTACTGAAGGGAATGAATTGAAACTTCACACACTTGTTCTCTGTGATTATCTAAGATGATTGGCACAAGTCCCATAACTCTGATTTGCTTTTTTAAATAATTATGCCCCTTTTTCGACTTAGAAATTCTTGGTTAAGTTTTTGCATGTAAGCTGGTATCTCCATAACTACTGAAGGGAATGGATTGAAACTTCACACACTTGTTCTCTGTGATTATCTAAGATGATTGGCA